GGGGGGGGGGGGGGTCAGCTGGGGCGCAACTCACATCATGTTAAACCTGAGCTCCGGGCCTTCCTTCCCTTCAGTCTTGCAGTTGTACCGCCTCCTCTTATGTACTGAATCTGCTCACTCTGATTTCACTGCACACTATAGCGGTATAGTAAAAAATAAACCCCCCCCAGTTGTAATTTTATACCACCAAAGAAAGCTCTTTGTGACCCCAAAAAAGGTATAAAATTCATTTCAGTACAGCGTTGCATGACGGAATAAATGTCAGTCAAAGTACAGCAGCGCTGAATACTGAAAAATGGCCTGGACAGGAAGGGGGTGCAACACCCCGCACTTTAAGGGGTTACTATAATCTGGGGGTGCTCTCTGATTTGAACTGTGCTGCGGTATGTCTGACCTCATTAGTAGCTCACCGTCTGCTTTCTGCTTTCACTGCACGCCTACAATAGACATCCAGTACAGACGGAGGAAAGGAGAAGTGGAATGTAGAAGATTCCTGCGGCCTCCGGAGTTCTCCTTTAACTCTTCTGACCCCAGTGAAGGGGCTGCACTGACCCATCTGGGCCTCTGTATCTCTTCATACAATGATCCTTGCAGACGATATTTACAGCATGCAGCAGTTTTCATATTTGTCTACGTTGTGTGTTCCTCTAAGTTGTGCTGGAAGCCTCCCACATTCCGCTCCCAGCATCCCTGGAATGTGCGCGTCCCCCTTAACAGCTGAGAGGGAATCATCAGAATTCCGGCGGGGGAGAGCCACAGCTACAACCCAGCTAAGACTGTTCCCTCCTCCTCCTCCTCCGTCTGTCTTCACACTTCTCCGTGTAGTTGTAGTTCATCATTTTCTTATCACTCCTTCTCCGTCACAGACTCACTCCCAGAATGCCTCGCTCTTGGCTGCATAAACACATGTAACAAGCATCCAGAACTGTATGTTATTCATCCACGGGTGTCAAGGGGATAACGAAAAGAAAACAACGCGTTTCGGGGCTAAAGGCTTCCCCTTCATCAGGGCTTTGGCAGCTGCCATGTGATATCTCGGAGCCTGGACCGATCCATCCGAGCCAGGGGAATAATAGATGTCATCAGCGAATGCCTTTGTGTAGCACGCTGGCCATGTTACCATCTGATTGTACAATCTCCTTTATGCTGACCGTACATTATACAATCTCATTGTACAATCTCCTTTAGATCTACCAACAACTATGTAGTGCAAGGGCATCATGGTAAAGGACTGAATAGAAAGCCTTACCTTCCAGCACCACCTCTTTGCCGGTCTTCTTCAGAGCTTGCACGGCGTCATCATGGGTGGCGTCGCTTAAGTCGACCCCATTCACGGACAAAATGGCGTCCCCCACATAAAGAGCGCCCGTCAAGTCGGCAGCCAATCCCTTGAAGATCTTGGAGATGAGGATGGGCATCTTGTTTTCCCTTCCGCCTGTGAAGACAGCGACAGATACAAAGATTGTAGATTATTTCTGCCAATGTATCGTATGACATTATACCCAATCTCCATGTTTATTAAAGATACAAATCATTATTACATCATCAAATGTCGTTTTTAAAGCAATTCATGCAAGTCCCTGGATCTAACTTGGTACAGTCCTCGTGCAGCAGAGATCAGAGGGGAGGGAGAAGCTGCAGAAGGAGCCTATAAGTTGTGCTACAGTGCAAGAAGCATACTGATAGTAGGAGAGAGCAAAGTGACAGAGAAATGAGCTCATCAGTCTGCTGCTTCTCCTCCTACTGTCCAGTCACAGGCTGTGGGAGGGACAAGACCTGTAAGTGTTACTGAACTGCAGCAGAGAAAAATTAGGTCTCCTGCCCTCCTGGACAGTGCTGTGCTGTGCGGGTGAGATGTATAAATCTCAGGACTGGATGTCACCCTTCTATATATACCCCAAGTGTCACCCTTCCTTATGTATCCCACATGTCACACTTCCTTATGCACTCCAAGTGTCACCCTTCCATACGTACCCAACTTGTCACTCTTCCACATGTACCCCAACTTTCACCCTTCCTTATGTATCCCACATGTCACCCTTCCATATGTATCCCACATGTCACCCTTCCATATGTATCCCACATGTCACCCTTCCATATGTATCCCACATGTCACCCTTCCATATGTACCCCGAGTGTCACCCTTCCATATGTATACCACATGCCACCCTTCCATATGTATCCCATATGTATCCCACATGTCGCCCTTCCATATGTATCCCACATGTCACCCTTCCATATGTACCCCGAGTGTCACCCTTCCATATGCATCCCATGTGTCACCCTTCCATATGTACTCCAAGTGTCACCCTTCCATACATACCCAACTGCTCCCTTCCATGTACCCCAGCTGGAGGATATATCAGAGTACATCACGTTATCTCTCATCAGTGTCCCCTTACAGTTTATTTTTCTTTCACTAAAATGTCCTTCTATGCCCTCAGTTCCATAAGTCACCACTGGAAATGTGTTTGTGGAGCATTGGATCCCAGGGAAAGTGAAACGCAACAGGAAGTCCAACTTTTAGAGAAAGCACTTAGTCAACCGCGGTCTCCCAGAGGGTCCCTGGAGTAGCTTAAAGTGCCTTAAAAGGATATCACTTGGATTTTATTTCAACTGGTAGCTGAGAGCAGCCAATCGGATCCCTCAGTGCATTTTGTTCAGCGAGTCACATTGGAAGTTTTCATGAATCAACCATATAGTGATTTTTATTTATTGTATGGAATACACCATCATTTTCTGAATCCCTTAGGGTTGTGAGCAGGATGAGCGGGTCGGACTAGACATCCCATTGTCTGACCACAGGCTCCAACTATCCCCGGAGGATTCCAAGGAATTCCCAAGCCAGCTGGGAGAGATAATCCCTTCAGCAGGTTCTGAGTGTACACTGGGACCTGCTGACATAGTGACGCTCCCGGGCCCGCCGTATGAGATGTCCAAACTAACACGAATGGCATTTTTAGAGCCGAAGGAACAATGGCAACATTCTATTCCAAACATGGATGAGGGTCTTTATTTTAACCATGTGACTGCAATTCGCAAATCTCATTGGACACAGCAGGAAATAACCGTCACGTTTGAAAACAAAAATATAAGTCACAAATCCAGTCCTCACTGAAAACATGTGACGATGACACTCAGCACTTACTCAGCCCTAATTCAGGATCCAAAGTACAGCTTTTCCTGAATCCACTACTTCATATTGTTGCTCAAGCCCTGAGGAAGGGGTGGGGGGCGATTCCCCTGAAATGCGTTGGCTGTAGCTGACATCTCTATTTAATTAAACAACATAGATGAACCTTCAAACCAGAGGAGGTGCTCCTAACCACACATCCGGGATGTGATCTTCAGTTGAGCCCAAACCATCATGACCAGACCATAACCAGGTCCTTACACTTCACACACACACTGTCATGACAGGTTGCCTCTTTCCTCAAGGACTACATGCCCCATTTTTTCAAATTCGCATCAAAACCAGTTCCTTCTCCTACTGGTCCCAGAGCTACCACAGATCTATAAGTTAAGTTATCCTGATATGTCTGAAGACAGCCCCCCGCCCCCCAAGGCTTTTATACTTAAGCAGCCACACTAACTCCATGCCGCCATGCTGTATCACCCTGGCCCATCTAAGCTCTGGTGTTGGAGCCAAAAAAAAACAACACATTTTGGTTAAAAATAGAGGAAGTGAGAATTCACTTTTTTATAACTTTGACACCATTTCCGATGACAATAAAAAGATTGCTCGTAAAACTTTCCCCACTTTACCAAAAATATGCTCTTGTCTCTGTTCTTGAGATTTCCCATCACTTCCTATACTAACAGGATGTAAGGGGAAATCTCCCCAACGGGGGCAGAGAAGAAAAACCCGACAGAGGTCCCCGCTCTATCCAAACGCAAAGTAAAACATTGTAGCTGCAGCTAAGTGTAAAAACTTCCTCTACATGGACCAACACAGAACTACAGCTAATGAATCCACTCATCGGCCTCAACCCTTTCCCTGTGACTCCTACCCTGAGGCATTTACACGTCTTGTATGGAAAGTACATGTGAATCATTACTTTAATGTTTATTTCATAATATTTCAGGATACGACTCGCATCTTCGCTCTTCCTTATTTTTCTTGTGTGACCTCACAATGACTTAAAGCTAAATTTTAATCTCTTTATATTTTTCCTTCCCTGGTTCCTCCCTTCCTGCCCCCATCAACATGCTACATTTTATCTTAATATATTATTATATATATTATTTTGGTATATATTATTTTTATATATTGATAGTGACGGTCATAGGCAATCCAGGC